GAACAGAGAAACTACTAGCCTGTGTCAGGAGAACCAGGTTCCCTGACGAATCTTGCACCTGCAAGCTTTGCCCTTTTTACCAGCGTGCACTGCATTTACTGCCTATTTGCTATGTAATCATCATGCGTGTCTACATTTAACGGTATAGAGATGAGTTAGACTTTGCCAGAAAACACTTTTTAGCTAATTTTACCTGGACATTTCTTTCATAGCCAATCATCGAGGGACCATGTTCTCAGTTAGGTTTTATCAACCCCAGTGCCAGGCGATTTCTTTCAAAATGTTCTCTGCTTAAGGCCTTGGTGAATATATCCGCAATCTGATCTTCTGTGCTATAGAATTTCATGCAAATGAGCTTCTTTTCAACATTGTCTCTGAGGAAGTGATGACGCACATCAATTGGTTCTCTTATGTTGGACTGGATTTTTTGCCATATTCAGTGCACTTGTATTGTCACACAGGAGGGCCACACAGTCAGAGAACACTCGAAAGTCTTCCAACTTCTGCTTGATCCACAATAATTGAGCACAGCAAGAAGCAGCTGCTACATATTTTGCTTCTGCAGCTGAGAGTGCCACCGAGTTTTGCTTTCTTGTACCCCATGAGATTAGACAAGAACCCAGGAAATGAGGGATAATAGAGAACTAGGTCCTGCGTTCCTTGAGATATCTCAATGTTCTCTTGGCAGCCTTCAGATGAGATTCCTTTGGATTAGATTGTATCCTTGTACAAAGACCCACGCTGAAAAAAATGTCTGGTTTGCTTGCAGTGAGATACAAGAGTGACCCTATGATCCCTCTATACATGGTCTAATTTATAGGGGAACCAGGTTCATCCATGTCTAGACGAGTAGCTGTGGCAATAGGAGTGTCAATAACTTTTGATGTTTCCATGACAAACTTTTTCAGCAGCTCCTTCATGTACTTCTGCTGACTTATCAATGTTCCCTTTTGAAATTGCTTCACTTGAAGACCCAGGAAGATATTTAATTTTCCCATCATACTCATCTCGAACTGACTCCCATGAGTTTTGCAAACTCTTCATAAAGAGAGTCAGTTGTGGCTCCAAAAATGATATCATTGACATATACTTGAACAATGAGCAGGTTCCTCCCTCGTTTCTTCAAAAAATAGAGCGTTGTCAATTTCCCTCTTGTAAAGCCATTTTCTAGAAGGAACTTTTACAACCTTTCATAACGAGCCCGGGGAGCCTGCTTTAGCCCATACAACGTCTTGTCCAGTTTGAACACATGCTCAGGATGCTCGTGATTCTCAAATCCAGGTGGTTGCTTGACATAAACTTGTTATTTTAGGAAGCCATTCAGAAATGCACTTTTGACATCCATTTGGAACAATGCGAACTCCATATGTGATGCAAAGGCAATAAGGATTCTGATAGCTTCCGTTCGAGCAACTAGAGCAAAAGTTTCATCATAGGCAATCCCTTCTTCCTGATTGTAGCCTTGAATTACCAGCCTTGTCTTATTTCTTGTTGTGTTTCCAAACCCATCAAGTTTGTTCCTGAATACCCACCCGGTTCCTATAACAGTTTGATCTACAGGTCGAAGAACCAGGTGCCATACTTTGTTCCTTTCAAATTAATTCAACTCCTCTTGCATGGCATTGATCCAATCTGCATCTTTCAATACTTCTTTGATATTTTTGGGCTCTATTTGAGAAAGGAAGGCTGAGAAAAGGCAAGTGAGTTTCTAGCTTTTGACCTGGTTTGAATTCCTGAGTCGAGAGGAGTGATTATGTTGTCAAGGGAATGTGAACTTCCGTGTTTCTAATTTGGTACTTGAGTCTCATTAGTAGAAGACCCAGGTATGCCTGACTAAGGTTCTTGGCCGCTTCCTGTTTCAGCAAGGGGAGTACCTTGGACTGCATTAATAACTTTGTTTTCAGCTACAGTTGTTGTAATCGGGGGACCAGGTTCCTCTCCAATGGATGGAGATGTATTTGCATCATCTTCACTGGATTCTTTCACATGACTCATCATTTCTACCTTTCCATTTGCCATGTCAATAACTTCACCGGGAACAGATAAAGGTTCTCATCTTGGTCAACACGTATGTCCTTCTCACAGGAGAGGTGAGATTCATCAAAGATCACATGTATACTTTCTTCAACACATGTCCTTCTCACAGGAGAGGTGAGTCCTTTTGTTGTATACTTTGTAAGCTTTACTTTGAGATGAGTATCCCAAAAAGATTCCTTCATCACTATTGGCATCGAATTTTCCAAGTGCATCTTTTCCATTATTGAGGACAAAACATTTACATATCCTTCTCACAGGAGAGGTGAGTCCTATTGTTGTATACTTTGTAAGCTTTACTTTGAGATGAGTGTCCCAGAAAGATTCCTTCATCACTTTTGGCATCGAATTTTCCAAGAGCTTCCTTTCCATTGTTGAGGACAAAACATTTACACCCAAAAGTCCTTAGATGTGTCAGCTTGGGCTTCCTTCTATTTAGCAGTTCATATGGAGTCTTGTTCAGAAGGGACCTGATCATGCACCTATTCACCAAGTAGCAAGCAGTATTGACAGCTTCTGTCCAGAAATACTTTGCAATTGCACTGTCAATCAACATTGTCCTTTCCATGTCTTCAAGAGTTCTATTCTTCCTCTCCACAACACCATTTTGTTTAGGTGTTCTTAGAGTTGAAAAATTGTGAGTGATACCATTTTCAGTACTGAACTCATCAAATTTGGCATTGTCGAACTCTGTCCCATGACCGGACCTGATGTAAGTTAAATTATTACCCATCTTCACTTGAATCTTTTTGACGAAGGCAACAAACACTTCAAAAGTTTCATCCTTGGTTCTGAGAAAACAAAGTCCAGGTGAATCTGGAGTAGTCGTCAACAATAGCGAAGATGTATTTCTTTCCTCCTCTGCTTGGCACCCTCATAGTTCCACATAAATCCATGTGAAGAAGATCAAGTGGCCTTGAGGTACTGACTTCCTTTTTGGGCTTGAATGAGGATCTGACTTGCTTTCCTTTTACACATGTATCACACACTTTGTGATCCTTGAAGCTTGACTTGGGCAGACCACGAACCAGGTCCTTCCTAACCAATTTGTTCAACAACGTGAAGCTTGCATGACCCAGCCTCCTGTGCCATAATCCAGCATCATCATCAACAACACTTAGACAGCTGGGATCACCATTCTGCAGAGACTCAAAATCAGCAACATAGATATTTTTATATCTTTTTTCCACTAGCACCACCTCACCTGTCACTAGGTTTGTAACTGTACATATTTTTGACACAAATTTCACCTTGTTTCCCTTGTCACAGATCTGGGAAACACTTAGCAAGCTATACTTCAACCCATTCACGTAGTACATATTTTCGATTGAGTGAGAGAGAGACTTCCCAATCCTTTCATCTCCCAGAATGTATCCTTTCTTGCCATTTCCAAAGGATACACTCCCTCCTTGCAGGGCCTTAAGTGAAAGGAAATCATTTGTACTTCCAGTCATACGCTTTGAGCAGCCGCTATCCATGTACCATTGTAGGCTGCTCCCTTTCACTGTTCCCTACACAACAAAATCAGGAGTTAGACTTAGGAACCCAAACGAGTTTGGGTCCCTTGTAATGAGGAAAAGGGTGAATCAGGGATATTCTGGTCCAAGCAGGCATCATGCGTTTTTTATATGAAGGACCAGTTTCTCTACCAGCAGTTACTTTTTCAGCAAAAACTTTGTTTTTCTGTTGTGACAGAAATCTGGCCTTACAATTTTATTTAAAGTGCCCAGTATTGCCACAGTGAGTGCTAAGCCAATTGTCAGGTACAGTAAGGTACTTGCTATGAGGGTTGTAGGGAGTCTTTTCCCTTTGGAACCCAATTCCCTGCCTATTTCCCCCATGGTTGGTGTACATGGCAGTGATAGCATCAGAGGACCGGGTCCATCTAAGTGATTTTTCAAGATCACTCTTCACTCTTCCTAGTTTTTCCTGAAGTTGTTTGTTTTTCTCAAGCTCAGCAAACAGACTAGACTTCACTGAATTTAACTCAATTTCAAGCTTAATGTGTACCTCACTTGCAACTCCCTTTCCCTTTTGAGGCCTACTCTCCATTTTAAGTTCCCCAATTGTTTCTTTTAGGTCCACTACCACCACTAATAGGTCATCTCTCTCATGCTCAATGTTAGCAACTCTCTCAGTTAAGACTTCTTTTTCCTTTCTTACACACTTAATGGTCTCTTTTAGGGCTACCACAACAACCATTAGATCATCTCTTTCATGTTCTATATTTGCAATTTTTTCATCTAAGGCATCCTTCTCTTTCCTCAGGTTCTCAATTGTTTCCTTTAAATCAACCAGAACGACTACTAGGTCATCTCTAGACTGTTATGCTTCTCCTAATTCCACAGTTAAAGCATCTTTATTATTTATAAGACTATGATAATCATCAATTAACACATTTTCCAAAGACATGAGTTTTTTAGGTTAATAAGATTTCAGATTTCTCTGAACATCTAGAAAAATTACCTCATCGTCGTCGTCATCTTCATCATCATCAGACTGAGCCATCAAGCCAAAGATTGATTCACACTCAGTTCCGTCACTTTCTACTTCCATAATTGAACTTTCACCACGATCATTTTCTTCTTCAGATTCGCTGGAGGAGTCTCCCCATGCAGTAAGAGCTTACTTCACAACATTGTTAGCGGTAGTTTTCCTCTTGAAGCATTTATTAGGAACCGGGTTCCTCTTGGCTGCTTTGTTAGGGCTGTTTTTGTACTGATCTTGCTTGAGGAGAAGGAAATCCTTGATGAGGTGTCCTGGCTTGCCACATTTATGATAGAGGTCATAATGTTTTGGCTCGGTAGAACTACCCTTTTTTGGAATGCCTCCATTCCTGTGAACCATTTTCTGGAATCTTCTTGTCAAGTAAGCCATATCACCATCCTTACCGCTTGAATCATTGATGTCTGTCTTGAGGACCATGTTCTTCTGCCTTTTGGGCTCTCTTCTTTCATTGTCCTTCTTCATGTTTTCAAGTTTTCAACAAGTTCATCTATGGTCTGCGCTTGCAAGTCCTTTGCCTCTGTGATAGCGTTCGCGTTGCTTTCCCAGGAGCTAAGTAGGACACTGAGAATTTTCCTGACAAGCTTGTTTCTTGGAATGATTTTCCTAAGAGAGTGGAGCTTATTGATGATAGAGGCGAATCGAGTATGCATATCTTGAATGGATTCATCGTCCTTCATCTTGAAAAGATCGTATTCAATTGTATGCATGTCAATATTTGATTGCTTGACCTGTGTTGTTCCTTCATGAGCTGTCTGAAGAGCTTCCCAAATTTCTTTTGCTGATTGGCATGCCGATAATCTATTACATTCATCAGGACCAATACCACAAACAAGAATATTCTTTGCACAAAAATTCTTTTCGATGACCTTTCGATTAGCGTCATTGAATTCCTTCCTCGTTTTGGGAATGGCTGTAGCTGGGTCGCCAAGAGTCTTTGTAGGAACAAAGGGTCCATCACAGATAGCATCCCAAAGCTCGGAGTCTTCAGCCATTATGAAGTCGTGCATTCTAGTCTTCCACCATCCATAATATTGGTCGTTGAACCTTGGTGGTCTGTAAATAGGCTGACCTTCTTCGAAGTTTGGCGGAGCATCCATGAGGATCATTTCTAGGTGTTAACCTGATAGAAAGAACCCGCTTTGATACCAATTGATAAATTTTAAGGGTCCACCAAACTACATAAAGAACCAGGTTCTCTATTAGTTCCCACAGAAACCACGCACACTGCAGTAAGTAAATGACAAGAGGAATTTTACGTGGAAAATTTCCAGCTCAACGGAATTAAAAATCACGACCTACCCTAGTAGGATTTCAACTTCACTACTGAGCAACTTTAGATTACAACCTATGTAACCTAGGAATTTACCTCTTAATCCCTCACTAACTTGTAACACTCTATTATAAGCCACTTTATAATAACTCTATTATAAAGACTTTACAACTCGACTAACTCTAGCCAAGACAAACACAAGGGTTTATGATTTACAAAGGATTTCCTACACAATGCTTCTAAGTAAGCTAATTAGGAATAACGAGTGAGAGCTTTTACAAAGGTACAACTCAACTAAGGACATATAATAATTTGATACGGGGAATTGGTCTGTAGCAGTTGTTCTTGATGCACTTGAGAATCGTTTCTGGATGATCAATCACCGTGAGAGTGCTTGAGTAAATTCTCTATGTGTTCAAGTGATTTGTTTTACCTTCCTTGATGTTAATAATACATTTGTGACATCACTTAGAATGATGTAAGCAAGTTAGGTAAAAGGCATTCTCTATAAAGTTGACTGCTGCACTGTTTTTGTATTGTAGCGTGTGCAGGCAGCAACTTTACAGCTGGGATAGTTGACTTGTGTAGTTTCCTCGGGAACTTGTATCTATCTGTTCCCTCCGTTGTTCCTTTGACTCTGAAAAGTTGAACCGTGTCTCCAACTCGAGACTTGTTGATCTTTATGTTCTTGAGGATGTGTATCAGGTTCCTAATCTGGTTCTTAACAGTAAGTTTGTTAGATCATCAAAACATAACAAGGATACACATATAACCTATCACTATGATAATTAAGAATGATAGAAAGATCATTTTCACTAAATAATTGAGGGTGACTTATTTTTGTTTTTCACTTAGGGTGTATTTGGTATGAAGGAAAATATTTTTCAATTTTTTCATGTTTGGTCGGCTTTAATGGTTTGAAAAATATTTTTCTCATGAACTCATTTTTTCCTCTAACTGAAGGAAAATATGTTCTCTATCAAAAAAAAGGAAAACATTTTTTATAACTCTCTTACAACCTTCCCCACCCCTACCAAGCCCCACCAACCCACTCCACCTCAAAAACTACCCCACCCCACCCCACCCAACCCACCCTACCCCCCACCTCACCCCTACCCCTACTCCACCCACCCCCGCCTTTCTACCCTACTCCCACCTTAAATAGAAATATTGTTAAGAAAACTTTTTTTTTATGTTGTAGATAGAGTATTTTCATTTTCATTTCAACAAAATCAATATTTTCTTTTCATGGGGATTTGGGGGAAGGGGGGTGAGGAGAGCAGCATAAAAAAAATTATTTTCCTAAAAAATATTTTTTATTCTCTAACCAAACACTAGAAAACATTTTTCGGGAAAAGTTTTCACTTACCAACCAAACAAGAAAAAATAAATAATAAAGTCAGTCATTTTCCAGGAAAACCTTTTCGAAAAAAATATTTTCGTTCATACCAAACACACGTCTCATAGAATCCGCGATAGAAATTTAACCACATGGCCATCAAAATAGTTGAACATACAACAAAGGAAAGGAACTAAAATTTTAAAGAAATAAGAAGAAATACTTACTCTACTAGCTAATACGCATTTTCTCCAAAATAAATATTAAATAGACATGGGAAAGAGCCTTTCTCAACTTGAAACCTTACACTCAATTAGTGTAGAGGTAAATTGTATTATTAGACTTTAACTCATTAGATAGACTCCACTTACTAAAACATGGTTTCATTTTGCTAGGGAACACATAAAATGAAAGAAAAGTTAGCGCATTTAGCAGTAATAGATTTAATTATGACTGCACAGGGAAAGAGAACTAAGAATGATTCGCTAAAATGGATATTATTTTTGTATACCACCCAAAATAACTACTTTTCCACGTTCAATATAACAAACCCAATTAACTATGCTATGTAGCAACAAAATTAATATACAAACCTCAACCACGTATCGTCTAGAAGTAGCCTAGAATCTATCTATTGAAGAACTTAAATGGTTCTTCATATGCAAAGTATAGGACCTGTACTATGTAAACTTGTTTCTTGATTCTTTACACTACCATGAGGATAGTTCCCTCCTCTCCTAATACTTAGGGAAATAGAAGAGACAATATATTAAAGAGGATACTCTTCATCTTTTTCTTTGTCAAGCAACAAAGTCTGGTAACAAGGGTGCAGCGAACCTCTTTCTGGTTTGAATGTTGAAATTCTCGTAAACACTTGTTGAGTGAGCAGATGTTGGGGTGTTTAGGCTACCAAATTCATTTGCCTCATCAATTTCTACTCCTCTTCCCATTTGGATGCTTTGTGTGGGAATCGGAAGGAAACTGTGGTGTGTTGCTGACATTGAGAGATTTTCACTATGGGGAAGTGCAAGAGTGAGGGAAACTGTGCCACTGGTTGAGTATGGTGCTGAGAATTGCTCGGTGCTGAACCTCCCGATTTCTCCAATGGGATAGGACCCGAATCCTCCCATGAAGTTCGTAGGTCCTCCCATTAAGGAGAATCCATCTCTGTTCTGCCTATCATCGCCAAACTTGATTAACATTTGTTCCTCATTTGGCTTTACATCCATGCTGATAGATGGAACACTATTTGGTGAATGCAACATCTCGTTGCTCCTCGGTTTCTTTGGACTTCCTTGACCAATGTTTATGCTTTTTATTTCTGGTGATCCGATGAGGTTGAAGCCAGTGTTGTTGCGAATGCTTAGACCAGTAGGTGATATGGAAGTAGTGTTGGATATTGGAATTGTAGAAGCAGGGTTGAGGTTTTCCAGATTATTGTCCTGTTTCGAGAGAAAGCTTTTGTTTTGGCTATCCGAACGAGGGCTTTTCTCTTGTGGAGCAATGGATCTTGATGTAGAATCTTCATTCTGTTCGCCTAATTTGCTCGTCTTTTCTAGATCTGATCCATTCTGTTCTTGTTCCTTGATCTCCTCCAAGTACATCTCTTCCACCATTGGCTTCCAAAGACGAACTCGAGCATTGATGAACCAATTAGACACCTGAATTGTCCAAAAAAATAAAAATATTGTCATAGCGGAAAGTGGAGAAGAATTCAATTAGAAACTCCAACAAGGATTAAGTTATCACTGACCTGACTCCTAGTAAGTCCTGTTTGTTTTGCTAGCATCATTTTGTCCGAATCCTTTGGATAACTATATACATAAATTGCCACAATTTATCAGAACATAGTACTAAATTACTAACGTATAAACTATAAAATCTTGAAATATTAAGTAAAGTGAAAAGGTTGTTGTTTCAGTGCTTACGGATGGAGGAAATGTTCAAAGAGCCAAGCGCGAAGAACAGAAACAGCTCGTTCAGGCAGTCCTCTCTGAGGTCTCCAAGCATTGTGCTGGATCATTCCCAATTGTTGCAGAGCTCTTTGTTGTCTGATCTGATTATCAACAAATTTAAGCCTTGAACCTTCAATTTTTCCTCTAAAACTATCCTCTTCACCTAATGTCTTGCTTGCAGATCGTATTTGGCCTGTTATCGCATCCTTAAGACACCTGAATTGCTTAGAAATTGTCTGCAGAGCCAGAGCTGTATATGTTTTTGCAGATCCAATTCCAGCTGCTTGCTCCAACCAAGATATCACACTCTGCATCTGCTGATGGTAATGTCTGTACCTCTGCTCCACCTATATATATTCCCCCCAAAATAAAAATGCTTAATATAACATGCTAGCTAATATATAGGGTTCGAAGAAATTTTTTAAAAGCAAAAAGAAAATTTTAATTTCAGTTTGCAGGATAGTCCGGACAGTACCTGACGATAATAACACTTTTGAAGTTCTGGTCTTTATCATCTGATAGGTACTTTTCTGTTAAATTATTTACTAGTATTATTATTATTATTATTTTCTGTAAAGATCTGATGCAACTTTTTTGACAGAGACCATACTCTTCCATTAACAACAACAACCAAATAGGAGGATTATAGGCATACCTCATCAAGCATGTTGACAAGTTTTGCTTTCTTCATCTGAATTTCTTGTCTCTCTGCTGTACTAAGCTCTGCTCCATCACGCTTACTGTTACTCTCTCCTCCTTCTTGTCCTGCTGCTGCTGCTGTTGCCATATTGCCAGACGATTCTCCATTATTTTTGGATTTTTGGCCATCATTAACATCTTCATCAGTTGTGCTAGTTTTCACTGCCTTGCCGACATTAACAACTTCATCAAGCAGCTCTTGTGCTGCTTTCAAGTACTTAGGACTCAAAGGCACACTTTGTACCGCAGAAGCCGACGACGATGATCCACCACCGGCTGTCGGTGAAACAGTTGTCATCAACTCCTCACGCTCAGGCCTGAAGTTCCCAAACCCGGGCTGCTGTGATGAAAGGCTAAGTGACAGCCCTTGCTGCTGAGCGCGTGTTGCCTCACGCGCCTCCGTGATGTCATTCGACTGGTTGTAGAAACCATACTCATGAGACCGAGCGAGGAAGCCGTGAAGTGCAGATATATCATGGTGGGAATGAACAGTTGGAGTAGTGGTACCGTCTTGAGAAGAAGAAGGAGCAGTGAAGGCAGAGGTAGCAAGTGGTATGCCGACAAACTGCTGCTGAGAAGAAGGCGGCGCGTGAGGTATGTTTAGTGAATTTCCAGGAGGATTGGAGTTGAAGAAAACGAGATTGCTTCCTCCTGCAGGTGGCTGATGATGTTGTGTCTCAGAGAATCCAACATAACCAGCAGGGTTCATCAGTATAAGAGTTTGTAAACCGTCGTTTCCTCCTTGAATTTCTGAATTTCCATGAAAGTACGCTGCCATCTCCTTTTTCCACAATAAAAAAATAAACTAATCTAGCTGAAAATTCAATCAAAGTAAGTCAAATCAGTCCTCGTATAATTTTCCAAATAAAAGGAAAACATACATAAGTGAAATTAAAGGGCTTGTTTTATGTGTGTACCTGCTGTTGTTGGGGACAAGAAGCTAGCTGATGAGGGCCAAGATTCAACCCATTTGATTTGTGTAGTAGTACGTAGGAGACGTCTTCTTCCTTCTTGCAGAACTTTTATACTATATTAAATGAACCCTGAAAATTTAGTAGGTCAAGATAACCAATCATTTGTCTGAAAAATATCTAAATACCCATTAATACTGTTAACCCCAAACACCATTATTTTCCCAACTCCCTCCCCCCCCCCCCCCTCCCAAATACACCAATATAATTACATTTAATATTTTACCTCTTCCTCCACTAAGAAATTTAAAAAAAAAAAAAAAAGAATAGGGTGAAGGAGGAGCAATAGGAAGAGAGGTTGTGGTTGTAAATATGGTTAGGCGGGGAAGTAAATGGAAACGGAAAACCGAAGAAGGAAAAAAGAGGAAGGATTATTAGAAAAAATATATGATTGGTACCTGCAGGTGTGATAGAAATCTGGAAGTGCACGTGCTCTATCATCATCTGCCAAATGGAAGAAAGGAAGAATTTTTAGTTACAGTGACACATAAATCATCACTGATTTGAGAGAGAGAAACATTTGTTTCGTGAGCATGCAGTTATATATGGCTAAAATGACATGAGAAAGATATATTTTATAAGAGAAAAGAATGAAGGGAAAAAGCCATACCTTTATAGCCTCTTTTTTGAGGATCTAATGTATCTATCTATAGAATTTATAGATCAGTACTAGTATTATACTTGTTTCAGTCCCTTCACTTTCCTATTTACCTTTCATGCTCAAATCAATTTCTTTCTTTTCTTGTCTTTTCCTTCTCTCTTGATAAGGCAAAGGAAAGGAAAACACAAAAAGCAAACTGAAGATAGACAGTCGTACTGAGATATGGAAAAAGCTGAGGAAAAAAAATTGCACATCTTTCTTCTTCTAGTTCCTGACTGACATCCATAAAGAAAAAGGAAATAAAAAAAGATCCATTCCCTACCTGGGAATTGAATTGATTATATTGGGGTTGTTGTCTTAGCTTTAGTTTTTTTTCCCCTTCTGCTTTGACTCAGCTTTTCAAATCATTTGATGCAGCCATCAGCAGAAAACCATCTTCTTCTGTGAATTGATGAGAACTATAAAAGTACTCAACTTTTTCAGAGAGAGAGAGAGAGAAAGAAAGGAATAAGAAGGAAAGATGTGGATGTGTATATATGTGATTGTGAAGTTGTGAGTGTGTGTGTGTGTGTTCTTTATATAATTATAATTATTTATTTATGAGATGCTGTCTACGTATCCATCATCAAAGATCAAAGTGTGTCAGAAGATACAAACAGCTGAAAAACGAGGTAACGTCCACTTCCACTAAACCCCATTAATTTTTTGTTTAACAGTAATAAGGATTTAACATAGAAGCAAAAGGAGAGAGAAGATGAACTATGAATAAGAAATGGAAAAAGAAAGAAAAGAATGGTAGGGTTGAAGAGAGGGGTGGGGATAAGAGGGCCCTATTGTCATTATTGATTATTGTTGCCACTTGAAAAAGGTAATTGTGAGAAAATTGTATCTTTAGATTAACTTTATGACTACTACTATTATTTTTATGAAAATTTACTTTTAACTTATTTTGCTTTTTGAAAAACGTTTTAGCTTTAGTAGGCGTTTGGACATAAAAAGTGTAATTTTTGAAAGAGAAAAATATTTAGTATTTGGAGTTAAGTTGAAAAATAATATTTGGTATTTGAAATTATATTTGAACATGTATTTTGAAAAACTATTGTAGTTTTGTGAGTGAGCAAGAAAAATTCTGAAAATTTTGAAAAGATGGTTTTGGAAAATTCATTTTCGAAAAGTTTGCAAAAACATACAAAATTTTATGGAGAAACTCATTTTTTGAAAAAATAAAAGAAAAATAAATATGGACAAAAAACGGGGCCTAATTTTTGGAATCGAACTTTGTATTTTTTTTGCAGCCACAGCTTGTTTTAATTAGTTACTCCCTCTGTTTCTATTAAGAAAAAATAAGATTTTTTGAATTTGTGGTTTTAAACAAGTTAAAAAGTGGTTCAGGATATTTGTATAGTTATAAAAGATTCTCGCTGAGGATAAAATAGGAAGTTTAAGCTAAAATGTTTTCGAATTTAAAAAGAGACCATTCTTTTTGGAACGAACCAAAATAAGAAATAGGTTTACATAAAAATGGAAGGAGTATAATGTTTTTGAAAACCTTTTATATGGGTCCTACGTACCTAGATATAATTTTCTCTTTTGTTTCTTATTTTCTACTTTGGTATTTTTTGTGGTTGGATGCAAAGGGTATGAAGATAAAGCAACTATCATGCTAAGAGACACTGGGCCAACCACCTTAACACCTACTTAATGTCCTAAAAAGTTATAATATCATTATCTTCATACTTCTTTATTGAAACTCCTATCCTAATAGAAGATTATGATTAGTATATATATTTCGCGTGAAACTACATAGTATATGTTCAAGAACTATATGTTGAATACAGCTGTATATCTACTTTTGTCTATTATAGTTTAATTCTGCATGGCTTCTGCTTGTGTCAATTAATTTCATATTTTTCCCTGATAGTCAAATAAAGGGATGATATTTGCTTTGCACAACTAACAAATGGATACTAATTTTTTTCTAAGAGATAACATGTATTGCTGGCAACAGATCAAGATGAATATCAACCATAGATTGATTTGTATAGGTATAGAGACTGCTTTAAGGTACATTTTTATCTTTTAAGATACAAATGAGACAAAAGAAATATATGGAGTTTTTAAATTTGCCGGACAATATCGATTTGATTTGAAAACTCAGCTTGTTAAGGTTTGAATAATTTGGATTTGAAATAAAACAATAAAGAAGAATATTGCAAAGAGAGGGAATTCTTATTGCTTTTTGGGATGAATTATAATGGAATAGAATTCTTTAGGGAAAGTCTGATTTAGCCTTCAAGTAATAATCACTAGAATCTTTCTAAATATAGACGTTCACCATAAATAAAATTCTATTTATAACACTCCCCCTTGAATGTCTATTCAACAGATAATGTGCCTCGTTAAAACCTTAACTAAAATAAAACCCAGTGGGAAAAAATTCTAGAGAAGAAAAAAGAGTATACATATCTAACGATACGCCTTTTGGTTGCCTCGTTAAAAACCTTGCAAGGAAAAACCAGTGCGACAAAACCTTGTAAGGAAAAAAGAGTGCAATGCGCATTAACTCCCCCTGATGAGAGCATCAATTCACATCCTCGAGCCTTCGCATCCCAATCTTGTACACTAGCTTCTTGAAGGTAGACGTCGGTAGAGACTTAGTGAACAAATTAGCCATATTATCACTTGAACGGATTTGTTGCACATTGATATCACAATTCTTTTAAAGATTATGAGTAAAATATAATTTTTGGTGAAATGTGCTTTGTCCTATCTCCTTTGATGAATCCTCCCTTCAATTGGGCTATGCATGTTGCATTGTCTTCATACAAAATCGTGGGTAGTTTGTCACATTTCAAACCATATTTGTCTCGAATAAGATGTATTATAGACCTCAACCAGACACACTCTCGACTTGTTTCATGAATAGTAATTATCTCAGCATGATTAGATGAAGTAGCCACAATTTATTGCTTAGTTGATCGCCAAGATATGGCAGTGCCTCCACAGGTAAACACATAACCTGTTTGAGATCGAGCCATGTGTGGGTCAGATAAATACCCAGCATCGGCATAACCAACAAGACCGGGACTGCAATTATTGTCATAATATAAGCCCATATCGGTAATTCTTTTTAGATACCGCAATATGTGTTTGATTCCCTTTCAATGTCTCCTTGTAGGAGCAGAACTATATCTTGCTAAGACATTAACTGAAAAGGTTATGTCAGGCCTTGTAGTATTAGCAAGATACATTAGTGCACCAATTGCACTAAGATATGTTACTTCAGGACCAAGTAGCTCTTTATTCTTTTCTTGAGGTCGGAATGGATCATATTCACATCAAATAATCGAACAACCATCGGAGTACTTAATGGATGTGCTCCATCCATGTAAAACCGTTTCAATACCTTTTCTATGTAGGCAGATTGATGAACAAAAATTTCGTTTGTCAAATGTTTAATTTGCAAACCGAGACATAATTTTATCTTTCCGAGATCTTTCATCTTGAATTCCTTCTTTAAATAATCAATTGCCTTTTGGAGTTATACAGGAGTTCCAATAAGGTTTATGTCATCGACATATACGACAAGTACAACAAATTCCGGTGTTGTTTTCTTTATAAAAATACATGGACAAATGGCATCATTTATATAACCTTTGTTTAACAAATACTCACTAAGACGATTATACCACATTCGTCCTAATTGCTTTAGACCATACAAAGATCTTTGCGATTTGATTGAATACATTTCCCGGGACTTTGAATTATGTGCGTTAGGTATTTTAAATCCCTCGGGAATTTTCATGTATATCTCATTATCAAGTGAGCCATAAAGGTAGGCGGTAACCACATCCATTAAATGCATGTTAAATTTTTCAAGGACAGCAAAATTAATGAGATAACGGAATGTTATAGCGTCCATAACGGGTGAACATGTCTCTTCATAATCGACACCAGGCCTTTGTGAAAATCCTTGTGCAACATGGCGTGCCTTATATCTTTTTAACTCATTTTTCTCATTCCTCTCATTTAAGTTTTGCTTTAGGGAGGGACAGATTTAGAGGAGTGGAAGGGGGTTCAAAGTCTTTGTGAGGTCACTAGTTCAATTTCCACTAGCCACAATTTTTTTTTAATTTTTTTAATTTTTTTCTTTTTTGAACTCCTTTAGCGCAAATCCTGTTTCCGCCACTGGCTTTAAGCCACCAAATTTATTGAGCCGCCCCTAATTTGTAATAAGTTAGACTATACATTTTTGAAGTGTTAAGGGCTTTACTTTTACCTTTTGTCAATCACTACTATTTTAAAGGGAGGAAATTTGCTGCTATTTTAAATCTTTCTGACAAGAGTAACATGTATTAAAGTACTTTTTTTTTCAATTTTTTTTTTCTTTTTAGCCGGTTCCAAAAAATCACATTTCTTTATTTAGTGCAATAACAATTTAACTTAAAAATATTTATTTTATTTTACTCTTAATATGATGATTTATAGCGACAGAAAATTTGATGTATTCTAGATCATGCGTTTAAAGTCTTTCTGTCATTCTTAAACTTTACGTCCAATCAAATACCTATCACATAAAATAGAATTTCACTACCAGAAATCCGTCAAAAATCGATAAAAAAATCGACCAAAGTTGGTTGGTTATGGCCAATTACCGACCAAAATGCGACCATTTACGTGTGGACGGTATTTTGGCGGTCGGTTAAAAAGACCGACCAAAGTTGGTCGGAAATTACCAACCAACGTTGGTCGGTCAATTAAATTCAAAAAAAAAAAATATTGCAAAAAAAAAAAAAACGACCAAAGTTGGTCGGTATTTTCCGACTAAAGTTGTTCTGTATTTTAATTATGTAATCAAAAGATTCACCATCTGGGAATCGAACCGAGATGTGTACTGTGGCAGGATACTATTCTACCACTAGACCATTGGTGCATTTTGTTTTAAGATTGTCTTTTTTTAGTTATTATACTCTTTTTCGCACGAAAATAACCGACAAAAGTTGGTCGGTTTTGTTAAAAAATGAAATTACCGACCAAAGTTGGTCGGTTTTTTTAAATGACCGGCCTAATAAGAATACCGACCAAAGTTGGTCGGTTTTTTAATATTAATTTTTATTTATTTTAATTGAAAAACCTACCAAAGTTGATCGGTTTCTTGAAAAATAAATTTCGCGAAACTCAAAAATAGTTTCCCGCTTTTTTGCGCCAAAGAAAACCGCCGTAAGAAATGATGATCGGAATTTACATGCAAGAAATAGTAGTTTTACTTAAAAATTTATCCTGTGTGATCTGCAACTTGAGTACCATATGATATTTTTAAGTACTTCACCAAATGCCAGGTGGGTGTTTATTAAATTAATTTAGGGAAAGTACATAATATTGAGGATGTTGTAAGCTCCGTTTATTTTATTTTGCGACAAATGTTTGATACTTCTGTTTTACGTGGAGCACTAGATTGGAGTCCATTGGTTGAGGAAAGAACTCAATCCAAAGAAGTCATTTGTAATCCTGAATCCCGGCTACGATAAACTGTCATTCTCTTATGATATCGAATAGAGTTTTTAATTTCCTAAGAAATCTTTCACTTTCCTAAGTATATACCTAAAAGCACTAGAACACTCTTTTTAAAATTTTATTTTATGTCAGTGCCTTATTTCTTCGCCGGCCAGCTGATGCTTTGGCATGCTTTATATGGATTTTAA